CTCCACCTTAAGGTCCAGGGCATTACACTCAGAAGGAAAGAAAAGTACAAAGTGGTTGATCTTATGAAAATACCTCTACAGAATGAAGGTAGGGAGACATTTCACATGAAATAAGCAGCAATACAGTTGTACTGTCTAGTCCAGACCTCTACTGCACCCTGTATAAAATGCATGACTCGTTTCCTGCAGTATAAAGGGTGCCTGCACTCACATATCACAACACCACACGTACACTCTTTAAAATGGAATGTGTCTAATTGGTTTATCTTTAATTTCTACTAAGGGGACAGCTCCCTCTTTGAGAGTACGGTGAGAGGAATTGAACACGAATGAGCTTTAAGTATGTCAATAACTGGGTGGAGCCATTACTGCCCTCAAACACACTGTCTCATACATTTCAACACACATTCCTGTTGATCTCTACCAGCTCTGAAGAGCACATTTCTGAACATAATGTACCTTTCTGTGGGGGTGGTGTTCTGCACTATAATCTGTAGGTATTCTTGTTAACCTGGCCACAATGATGTTTATTCACTATTTTATCCATTCAGCCATAGTCTTTTCAATAATAATTATCTGTTCTTCATTTTAACAGGTAGACATATTTCTCTTGGAGACCAGATCTCTCAGAAGGACACACCAGTGTTCAAGACAGAGGGTGAAAGAGCTACACTGGAATGTACCTTCAGCACAAGCAGCACCAGCTATTGGATCTACTGGTACCGCCAGTATCCTGGGTCGGCACCTCAGTTTATACTGTACAGCGGGACCACGAGCCGCACTTCAGATTTTGCAAAAGAAAGGTTCTCCTCTACAGCAGATAAAAACACTGGTTTAACAGTGTTGACAATCTCTAGAGTGCTGCTGGAAGACACCTCCATATATTACTGTACCTTGTGGCACACAACATTACAATTCAGGGAACACTAATACAAAAACCTTCTCTGCTTTTACAGCACTGAGAAACCACTGCTGATATTGTTCATAAACCAGAATAACACTGAGGTTAGCCTCAACAGGAAAGACATCTGACACAGCAATAACTGTGTTCCATTCCAGGAAACTGTGGACATTTTATATCTGATATTGCAGATAAAATAATTAAATTATTGTTTACTTTTTTGCTACTGTACTCTCAGCAATAGATTCCCATTACAGTGTTCAAAGAATCATGCAAAGAGATCCTGTCATCTTTCCCACTATAGTTCATGATGTCATTTCTTGGTTTCAGATGCTGAAGTATTGGAACATACACAGTACTTATTGTATGTGAGAGTTGCTGTTCTGCTGGGATTTTATCAAAGCCACTCACAGGCTTAAAGCACATTCAGCACCAGTCACACCCATTTAACCATTAAACAGGGTTATATTTCCCTTATGGATAAAAGGTAGAAGGGAGAAACACTAATCAGCCCTCCCATCAGTAAGGTTACTAGTACAGGAGAATCTGGTAAGGCTAAACAAGATACAGATCACGGTCAGGGTCAAGTTACAGATCAGATCAGTCAGGGTGCGATAGTAATTTACACAAGGGCTGATCCCACATTAGCTTGATTTCACAATTCCTCCCAGATTTATTGTTACAGGATACAGAAAGCAGAGCACAGAATGCCAAAAACAGAAAAATAACCAAATTGATTTCTGTGGATGCTAGTGTAGTACAAAAACTAAGCCGATTAAAAGAGATTACTTCCATTTAAGTTTTTACTCTTTGCATCACCTACAGTATTTTGTAAAGAATGAAATATGTATTATTTGATCATGCTTTTTACTAGCACTGCTATAGCTGTTAATTGACATGAATTGTGGTCAGGTGTAGCTATTGAGGATATCTGAGAATGTAGAGGTTCGTCATGTAACTAATAGATTCTTAACCTCTAAAGAAATGGTATGGATTGCGCAGTAAACACTGATAGCGACTTTTTCAAGGTTTAAATTAAAAGACCGTAAGTCTGTGCCGAAAGAGAACCAGCAGATGGCGCCAACACCTAGAAGATGATAATAAGGGCATACACGTTTCTGTTGACGTTGATTTTCCACCCCCACTGCAGTGAATACCAGTTTTATCTTTGTTTTTTTACTTGCATGGTGTAACAAAAAAACATTTGTTTATTTTTCATTTTGAAATTAACCCTTCACTTATTTGAAATCAAAATGAAGTAGACTTGATTTATTTAATCCTAAAACATTTTCCCAAATCAAAATCCTATGTAGAACAGGCATCTAAAACTTAATTCCAGGAGGGCTCAGTCTTAATACTCATAATACTTCTAATCAAGATCTGAAGTGTTTCCTAGGTAACTGTACCTTCAATTAACAGAATGTTTACATAATCGACTGCAAAATACCTTAAACAAAAGATAGATAGATACTTTATTGATCCCGTGAGGGAAATTGCAGAATTTAGGATATTTAGGATAATATTATAGCTAAGAAAATAATTAGATTACTTTTTAACTTTATTACTCAGGTTTAAACAAAAAAGAAGACACTATTTCCAAAGTGATTTTGTTCTATACCCCAGAAGCAAAAAGATATTTGATCATGTGTAATCTAACATTTGACAGATAGATTTGTCCTAGATTTCCTTCAAAAATATTTTTAGCTTTTTAAAAATGTCCCGTTAAAAGAGTAATGTGAAAACATGGTGTAAAACTTCAGTTCACTTGTAAAAAGCAGATTATTATAAACTGCCACATGATTGAAGAGCGTTGTTATTTCACCAGTTGTACAGTAACCTGGCTTTACTGCAAGAAGGAGGGTGATGTATTTCTCCACCCCCCTGTGCTCATCCAGGAGAGACAACAGAAATCTCTCGAGAGCCTCAAGTGTGTTTGTGTGTTACAGAGAGCCTCTACAGGCTGATGCTCAGAGGGCAAGTTCAACTTCAGGACAGAAGTGTAAACTGAAGTTTCATAGATATTGTATTTCACAGAGAACAAGACTGAGGACTGAGCAGCAATGAAACTGACAAGAGTTCACCTGTCAGTTATCACCATTTTCTGCTGCGTGATAGGTAGGACCTTAATCTTTATTTAATTTAACTTTCAGAATTTTAGAATTTCATTTGGTTAACTTCAGAACACTGACTAGTCATCTGTTTCTTTTTTCTTGCCGATTAGAAACTGCAGGTGGACAGTCTGTGGATCAATCTTCCTCAGTCACAGTTAAAGAACAAGGAAACACAACAATTCCCTGTTCTTACAGGGATCCTCCTATGAGCTTTAACATGTTCTGGTACATCCAGACATCCGGAAAAGCTCCAGAGGCCATTTACAATGAGCTGCTGCCTAAGGACAGCATCCCTCCCCGGTTCCAAAACCGTCTTTCTGCGGCTCACGAAAAGAAGGAAAAAACCTTCCATCTTCAGATCAGCTCTGTGGAGCTTTCAGACTCTTCAGTTTACTTCTGTGTACTGCAGCCCACAGTGAGAGCAGCTGCACCAACACCACACAGAAACCTCACCTTGACTGCATCGAGAGGAAGAATACTGGGACAAGCTGCACAAGGAACACAAGAATGGTGTCTAATTGTCTCCAAGATTTTGGCCGTCTAGCTCATGTCTTTTACAACTTTACAAGCTGGCTTGTTCCCAGTTCCCCAAATCTTACTGGATTCCTCTGTATCACTACAACTTCAGGACAATCCTGTCGACATGTACACAAATGGAGAAATAAAATTCAAGAGCTGATCATATTGTGTCTATTTAATTGCTTTAATTTGGAGACTCAATAATATTTTCGGCGTTATTGTGCAGTCGAGAAAGTTCTCAATCTAATTCGGATTGTTCTTAGGTAAGCAACCTGTTTTTATCTGTTGGGGTCACTCTGGAGCAACTGCTGTTATACTGGGTGAAGTGGAGATGTTAGATACCAAGAAAAAGCTAGTACACAAAACATCGACATCAAGATACAAAAAAGAACCGTGCAGGGTGAGAACTAAAAAAATACTTCCCACCTCCTTCCTGGGTGTGTCTTAGAGGTTTGATTATTCCCTTCTGATCTCATACAGAAACATATATCTGTCACAGTCACAGAGTTTGATCAACTTAACCCTTCTGACAACTACAATGGGCAGACTCTTGCGTCACCTCGTAATAATCAAGACCACAATGAACAAATCGCTAATGATCCTCTTAATAATCAGTGTCCTTCCAGGTAATTTTCATATTCACATTTGTTTTCTTCTCCTGCGTCCCCGTTTCTCCGTAACAGTGATTTTATTTTGGTTTTTCATTTTCAGATCTATCAGTCGGTGACTCCATCTCTCCTCAGCAGACAAAGGTGTCCAAGACAGAAGGGGAATCAGTGACTTTGCACTGCTCTTATTCTAAAAGTAGTAGCAATTATTATTATCTATATTGGTATCGTCAGTATCCCCGCCAGTCACCAGAATTCATACTGTACAGGGGAGAATCAGAAAGGTCTGATACTAAGGCAGACTTTGCCAAAGAGCGCTTCTCCAGCTCTACAACAGACAAGTCCACAGCACTGACCATTCAAACCCTGACTCTCAGTGACACTGCAGTCTACTACTGCGCTCTTAGACAAGCACAGCATGAAAATTCATTGCAAGTCTGTACAAAAACTCTAACTCCCATATCTTCTCAGATGTGGCACAGAACAGGAAATTCGGTTGCTTTGTCATTAAACATGATGATTATCATAATTTGCAGTGGTTTCCCATATCTAATGTGGCGGGGAAACTTATTCTGGCTTTGTTTAGTTTAATTTCTTCCTATTTCTATGACACAATGTGTTTTCTGGCTGGGTTTATTACCTTACACTTTATAAAGAGACATAACTCAAGCTTAAAGGTACAACAAAATTAGCACGATAAAAAGAAAAAAGAAAATCCTGTGTGTCACATCAGCACATATACCATCAAAGAAGATTCACCTCTCACCTGCCCTCTAAAAAGGGTGCTCTGGAACTTGATGTTATATTGCAAAACATTAAACAACAAATCTAATTCAAATGGAAAATCAGCTATGTTTTTTTTTTCCTAATAATTTCTAATTAAGGAGTCGCTCCTGATTTAATACACAAACTGAAAAAGATGGAAATAAACTTCGCTCACAATAATTGGAAATGCAGCAGGAGGTGGTTGGGTTGTGTGCGCGTTTTGCATGACGAAAGTCTCCCGCTGTAGCAAGACAGGTAAGGGACTATGGATCCAGTGCAGGACTCGAGAGAGAGAGAATTCCAATCCAAATCCTTGGGCAAAAACGTTTTCCAGGAAACAATCAAGAAGGTCAGATAACGGTTTGTCCTCTGTCTGGACAGACAACTGAAATATAAAAACTCAGACAATAGTCAATTCTAGAGTTATATGTCCATGAACCTTTCGCAGACTGTGAGACGCAAAAAGCAGCAATTTCGGATGTTTTCAAATACGCAACAAGGAAACTTTCTACATCTCAAAACAATAATAGCCAAAATGTCTTTGTATGTTGTCCAAGATACTCAGAAAGACGACTTTCTAATATTTGCAGCAAAAAAAGCAACATGGAGAGACTTTTTATTCCTCACAGACAACAGTATGCGTAAAACGCAGATTTTGTTGTTGCCATAAAGACCGTTTTCTCATATTCGCAGTCAAATAAAGATAAAGTTTGATATGCGCATCAGTATAAAATAACGTTAGTAATAACAGAGGTCTGCATTGGAGAAATAAAACAAAAATAGTCACAAATCCAGCAGTGGATCCAGTCCTTTGTCAAAGGCGTCCTCTGAAAACGAATCTGCGCTATCCAGTCCTGACCCCCCATCCGACTCTTCTCCCGAATCCTCTCGATAAACCTCTTCGGGAACACTAAGCCTTTTGACTGTTTTTTGCTTCTTGCTTGCCATTTTTGGGATTTTTTTTCTGCTAAACTGTAACAAAAGAAACCTTCGCGGGCGTGCGTAAAGGTGCGCTCTCGGTGCGGAAGTGCGTCTGTGAGATGCGCTAGTCAATACCTGGGCTACTGAATTTGATTTCAGACCGCTAATACTTATCATTGGGCAGCAATACTCCCACCCTAAATTTCAAATGGTCAGAATACACTGATTGACAATGCTGCCACTAGTGTCCTCGCCACTATACTGGGGCATTAGGATCCACATGGACCGCAGTGTGGACACCCCCCACTGGTCCCACTAACACCTCTTCCAGCAGCAACCATAGCTTCCCAGGAGTCTTCCATCCAGGTACTGGCCAGGCTCAACCCTGCTTAGTTTCACTGGGTAGGAAGGCAGTTGAGAGCTGCAGGCTGATATTGCTGCTGGCTGTTTGGAATTGTATCTCATTCGAATTAAAAGTCAGTTTTGATTTCAAAACTTAGATTTCATCTTGATGAAATTAAGGGCTTTTAGATCTACAGGGCTTGTCTCTCTTCCTCTGTCTTTGACTCCTCCCCGTTAACACAGAACACATGACCCTGAGGCTGGATGCTGTGGGTATAAAGAGGAAAGGACAGGCTTTTCTGAAAGCTTAAATTGAACGAAGAGGAAATAATATAAAACTCACAATGAAGATTTCAGTTTATGATAAAACACTGAAGTGTCTGTTTCTCTGGTTCATTATAGAAGGTGAGTATTGTTGTAATTGTTTCTACAGTATATCACTAAGCATTAGAAATATGTTTCCTTAAATGATTTACTTCTAATGTGTTTTCTTGTAGGTGCTGACAGTGCAGACGAAGTCACCCAAACCCCTCGTGCTCAAGAAGTCTCTGAAGGAGATTCAGTCCGAATACAGTGCAGCTACACAGTCACCAACTTTTATGCTATGCAGTGGTATAAACAATCAAAGAACAATGGTATACAGTATATAAATAAAGCAACTGGTTCAAGTACATATGGAGATGTTTCAGATAAATACAAGCCTGCAGTAGACACATCAAAAAAAACTGGATCGCTGACAATAAAACCCACAATGGCTGACTCTGCCATCTACTACTGTGCCATAGAGCCCAGCACCGTGATACAAAGGAGTATCTCACCCTTACAAAAACCCTCCAGCACAAATAAGGTGTCAATCAAGCCCTTATCAAGACTCCTGTGGCATCATTTCCTAGTATGGTGTTACCCACAATGACAGCTGTCATGAGGAGGGGTTTTCCTCTTTAGTCACTGATTTGAGAGTTGTCAACCCAGGTGGGCCAGACACAGTAACCATTAGCAGTAGGGTGCAGTTAACACCTGAGGTCCCAGGGAACACAACTCTATTCACTGATGCTGTCACATGCATCCGTCAGCGCTTTGAGTGGAGTGTATAAGTGTAAGGAATTATTATAATTGTTGTTGTTGTTCTTGTTGTCTGAAGCTAGCTAATACGATCCAGGCGGAGTGGTGGCTCTGTGGCTCAGGATCTGCGCCTGTGGCTGGAAGGTTGCCGGTTTAAATCCCA